GGTTCCCTCTCTTGGGACTGGGTCACAGGGGGAGTGTCCCCTGCATTTGCCCGGGTGGCTCACGGCCACGTGGGACCCGCACAGTGGACTCACAGACTGCAGGAAGCTGGATTCAGCACTGAACCCGCTGCGCCATGGAAGAAACCGTGGACACCGGCCCTGCGGCTCGCTCTGCTGCAGCCCCAGCCGCGCCTCTTCCAGCGCCGGTTGAGGACACGGACTTCAGAGCCGAAGAATGTAACTCCAACGAAAACCGTTCATTCTCCCATGTGCGTTTTAGAAAACTCATTTTCTAAAGATACCACCAGAACCCCACGCCCACGAGTGTTGGGGAAATCTGACCCCCTGATTTCTCCTGCAACACAGGAAGGACCCGTACTCAGAGGGACCGGTGTGGTTCAGAGAGAAGCTGGACTACATTCTGCAGAGAAAAGACACTGTGCACACACATGCACACACGCACACACATGCACATGCACACACGTGGACACATACACAGCAGCACTGAGTCTCAGTGCAGTCTTCACTTCCATGACTTTAGAAGCATCAATGTCACAAACTTACAAAAACATCATGTGAGTTCAATGATTGAAATTTCTTCTCCCATTTCTCATGATAAACCTGCCATGAAATAAGACGATTTTCATATGTGCTACCGTCAAAGCACATTGCGGATAACCGACTTTGCAGAGCTGGCGTTTTTTAGAAAATAAAAACCCCCAGAGCATTACTTTTGTACCAACTCAATGTTATCTTCTCAGAAACAACCTTTCCTGTTAAAAATCCTAGTGGACCCCTGTCTTGTCTTCTGCCGTATCAGTTTCCCCCTAGGTGACGGCCTCCAAACACCACCAACATCGTGAGTGGGCATTTCTAACCATGCTACGTACAGAACCCACAGCAGAGCCCAGTGTGTGACTCTCACTGGACAAACAACCCTCCCTCCGGAGACATCATGGGCCCATGTACCAGGTCCTCCAGCACCTCACGGGCCCATCTACCAGGTCTCCTCCAGCCCCTCACGGGCCCATCTACCAGGTCCTCCAGCACCTCACGGGCCCATCTACCAGGTCCTCCAGCACCTCACGGGCCCATCTACCAGGTTCTCCAGCACCTCACGGGCCCATCTACCAGGTCTCCTCCAGCCCCTCACGGGCCCATCTACCAGGTCCTCCAGCACCTCACGGGCCCATCTACCAGGTCCTCCAGCACCTCACGGGCCCATCTATCAGGTCCTCCAGCACCTCATGGGCCCATCTACCAGGTCCTCCAGCACCTCACGGGCCCATCTACCAGGTCCTCCAGCCCCTCATGGGCCCATCTACCAGGTCCTCCAGCACCTCACGGGCCCATCTACCAGGTCCTCCAGCCCCTCATGGGCCCATCTACCTGGTCCTCCAGCACCTCACGGGCCCATCTACCAGGTCCTCCAGCACCTCACGGGCCCATCTACCAGGTCCTCCAGCCCCTCACGGGCCCATCTACCAGGTCCTCCAGCCCCTCATGGGCCCATCTAACAGGTCCTCCAGCACCTCATGGGCCCATCTAACAGGTCTCCGGACTAGGGTGGCCTGGATTCAGTACCGGGAGTCCTACAAAGAGGCGGATTTGGACACACCGCAAAGGCCTCATGGAGACAAAAGCAGAGACCGCAGCGACGTTCGGTGCCCAGGGAGCCCAAGGCTGCTGCAGACCAGGAAGCTAGGAGGGGGTACGGAGGGTTCTTCTTAGGGCCTTTGGTGGCAGCACAGTGTCTCTCGTACCTTGATTTTGGGCTTTGAGCCTCCAGATCTGCCGGAGGATGGACTCCTGTTGTTTTAAGCCCCCGGGGAGTGGGAGTTTTTTCCACCAGCCCTCAGCAACTCATCCAGAAGCAAACGTGTGCGTTTCAAGTCACGCCTATTAACACCAGAATCAGGAGCACTAAGGAATTGGTTAGAACCGAAGACAAGAGATGACAGACACTTAGACTCCTGAGCAGGTGACAGGGGTGAGGTGAGGAGGCAGAGAAATTGGCCAAGCAAGTCTGGGGGTGCTGAGGCTGGGGGGCAGGAGTGGGGACAAAAGGAGACATCCTGGGACAGACTGAACCCCAAGGAGTCAGCATCCTGATCCCAGGTGTGGGGCAGGCATTTCTCAACAAAATCCTGTCACTTTTTAATGGCAACAAATCACAAATTTGTCATCTTATCATCCATATAGAAGCAAAACCATGCCCAGCTCCCCGTCAAGGAGGAGGGAAGGGCCGCTGGCCACCGGCCATCTCTGCCGCGTGGCACCCTCCCTTTCAAAGGGGCCGAGACTCCCTCCCTGATGACCACATTGGAAGACGGTTCTGTTAGAGCAGGAAACAGGAAGGCTGTTTTCTCCATGTGAACACTTAGGGGAGGAGAAGGTGCCTCACAGTTTCTAATACTGATCTGGCTCCAGTGTTGTAGCCCAAGAAAAACATCTCTAATGGTGAAATTCCTCTCTGGAAAGGCCCTAAGAACAGTAATGGGGGGAGGGGTGTATTAGTGCTAATTCTGAGCACACTGGGGGCAAGCTCATTTGGAAAAAAGATGAAAGTGTTGCCTGAGGCCAAAGGCCACCTCTTGGCACCATCCAGTGGAGCACAGTCCTGGGTAAGTATTAATTTTGAAGATGTCTGTGTGTGACGGACACCCTGTCAGGGCGCTGCCGTGGGACAGGCCACACACCTCAGTGTGCAAGACCCACTTAGCAGGTTCAGATGAGCTGGGCCAAATCATGCTCAGAGCACTTGTAAAAAGATTAACATTTTAATACATTAGCACCGGAACATGCTGTACAAGCAACAGGAAAACGGCAGTTGTCAATGTGTGAATTTAGTCTCAGGGTTGAGTTCATCCCAGGAAATGAAATCTCAATTTAGACTCTCCCCCCTACTCCCCAATCCACATGTTTATTTTAGGATCCGGGAGAACACTGTTACTCAGCAAATGTACTTCACATCGAGACACGGTTAGAGTGTATTCATCAGGGAAAAGGATGTGAAGTTCTCACTTTCTCTTTAAAACAGTTTGAAGTGGGCCTGCCAAGGCCAAACCACACCTGACGGGCGAGCTGTCTCAAGGCGGTGATGCACACTGCCGTGCGGGCAGGCGGAGGGGGAGACGGACAGAGAGAGGGAGAGACTGAGAGAGGTGGAGGCAGAGACAGGGAGAGACAGAGAGAGGTGGAGGCAGAGACAGGGAGAGACAGACGAGAGAGGACGATCTGTGTGCACCCTTTTCATGAGAAAGGGTGCTAAGGGGCCAGCATGGGGATTACCTGGAGTTTTCTAGTGCACTTGCTGGGGGCCTGCCGCCCACCTAGGAGGCAAACAGGAGCAGGCGGGCAGGACCCTGCCATCAGAGGCCTCGCCAGGAGGGGGCAGCCCAGGCTGCACCCAGTGGGTCCACCTGGCGTCCGGGAGACTGGGCGCCTGCGGACTTCAGGGGAATTCCGACAGGAGACCAAGCTGGGCTCCAGTTCCCGTCAGCAGGCTGTTGTCTACCTCAAAGCCGCACGTGAGACTTGCATTTCAGACTGTGTCTGGTCTCTCAGGCCCTTCTGTTAGAAGCAGCTACTCTCTTTACATGGAAAGGCAAGGCAGTTTGTTTTATTTTTTAAAACTACGCTGTCAGCTCTTCTGCCCGGCCCCTGGCACTTACCTGGTCTCCTCAATGACAAAGTCACCGCAGAAGGGGGGTGGGGAGAGGCCCTGCCCCCAGACTCTCTATCCGTAACATATTTGCCTACATCTTTGCCCCAAAGGGTATGCTTATTGGAGATAAAGACAGAACATTAGGGGAAAATACCCAACAACTTCTTTAGAAGGAAAGAGGGATCAAACCTCTCTTCCTGCTAAAATTTTTGAACTAAAATAACTTCAATCTTTCAAATGATACATCTATACATACTTTTGGGGGGCAGTTGATGCTTTTATAATAAAGGGGTAATGTTTCACATTCTTATCCCTCCCGACACATTCTAAGTCTTTTGGAAATGGTAAAATAATTACCGTCAGTTGACCTGCCTGTAACTGACATGTATATGTGCATGCAATCCAGATAGTCTACAGGAATACACAGCATCATTTTGGAGCAGAAATATCCTATCACATTGCTTGTCCTATGATGTTGGTGCTCAAATGTTTCCCATCCATTCTGCCAATAGCTCACTCATTGTTTCATCTGCATTTATCCAGGCAAAACGTTCTTTCACCTCAGACGTTATTTCCAACTCGCTAGAGTTTGAGCTGTCAAAGAGTACGTACTATTTCCCCGATTAAATTAGAAGTAATATCATCACGGAAAGGCCTCTTTAATAACTTTCCCCGGCATGCTGTTAAGATTCCGAGATGATTTATAGTGTGTGCATATTTGTACACACCCCGCCCCCATTCTTCAGCCACAACCTGTGATATTCATTTCCTATGACGTTTCGCCCTGTGCAGCAACTGTTCCTGTTTCCCATTTTCATTTTTAATGGGAAGAAGCTACACTGCTCTTTTTAGTCCCCACAGATGACAATGATATCAAACTCTGAAGTGTTACAAAAAGGAAGGGGACTCCAGGACGCTTCCCCAGTTACGAATAAGGAAGGTCACCTGGCAGCTGGGCGTTGAAACACACTCCATAATTTTACGATTACACCGTCTCTCAAGTATAAATTTTGAGGAAAATATACAATTTTAAAATGTAGAAATCCACACCATGATTTTTTATAGAACACCCATTTAGTTATTAAATGGTTATAAATTAGCCATTGGTCATTTACCCTTCTAAATGATTTAACCTTTCCAATGATCATTTCATCTGTTTTCTATATATAAAAAAAAAAAAAAATCAAAGAAATTGGAGATATGGAAAAGACACCGGGCGAGGATCTGAAAGTGATTTGGTAGCTTTCGAATTGACATAATCTTGGCCTGGCGCGGCTCATTTTGGAAGGCTGCCTCAAATTTCCCCTGGTTTTGAACTTTTTTTTTTCCTTACCACTTTCATCTAGCAAGAAATCATCCTGGTAACGGAACTTCTCTGGTCCACATGCAATAAAAATGTCATCGTCACCAAAAAAGTCCTGAAGGCACATCACCTACAAGAGAAAAGCATGGCACTCAGCAAGAGGTTAGCAGAACAGCAATTACAACAATGCGGCAAGTCAACATCTGCATGGAGCCCCTTCCTGCCGAATGCCAGCAGCGGGGCAGCTCCTCCCCGGGAGTTTCAAAGCCAGGTCCCCGGCATCTGGTACTAGTAAGAAACATGTTCCCATGCCGCTGTGCAGGAAGACGGGGTACGGGAAATAGAGCCAGGAACTGTCACATTTATGACTTGATAGATCAGTGGGCTCGGAGGTAGGAGCCCTGTATTTTCATAAGAGCGAAGGCAGCGGCCTGTGGGAAGGGAGCAGCCCCTTTTTTCTCCTGAATGTAATATTCCTTGATAGCAAGGGACATCAGCACATGGTGTGAGCAACAATAATATTCCTTGATAGCAATGGACATCAGCACATGGTGTGAGCAACAATAATATTCCTTGATAGCAATGGACATCAGCACATGGTGTGAGCAACAAAGGTGTTTTTCAGTGACTGATGCCATCGTAGGCACACGATGGTCACTGTCAGGAGTAACAACAGAATAAAAAGCTGTTGCAGAACATGGATACCATGTCTCCAGACCCCTTCTACACCTAGTGGAGACAAACTAACCATTTGTAACCGGAGCACCAGCCAAGGGGTTACTGCTGGGATCTGGATACCCAGACAAGACTCACCAGCTCCCTGCAGTCCCGTAGAAGAAAACCGTGAAAACAACCTTTTGGTGTTTCTTCACCTGACTGTTCTCCAGTAACTGAGAACTAAATGCATGTTTCGAGTAAACGTGGTCAACACGCACACTTCCCAGTAACTGCCCTCCGGCCCGAGCCTGCGGTGTGATCTTTCGTTGGTGATGTGCGTCATGCCAACACTGGGCGCGGGGAACGGTGCCCATCTCTGCCCGGTTTAACTTCCTGTGACCCCTGGAGCAAACCCTGCCGCGGGCACCGAGAGGCAGGCGGTCGGACTGGAGGGGGCGGACTCGGGCAGCGTCTCCCCTGCCGGCTGAGCGCAGCCCTTCCTGGGGCGTCAGCTTCTTCGGCCGTGCTTACTTACTGTCGGGCCCTCGCTCCCTCGGTGGTGGCTTCGTGTGGGGTCTCTCTGCGGGTCTGCCCCTTGTCCGTCTGGGTGACCCCCCCCACACACACACACACATCGAGGCCTTACGGTAATAGGGCGGGAGAAAGAAGCACCGTTTAAAGTCCCCAGGCGCACTGATACTCAGGTTTCAATAGTTTTTCCCACGAACCTCTTACTTCCAAATAATTGCGCGGCTGACGTTTTAAGGATGAAATTTCTAGAACGGTTTGCTGGCAAGCTCTGAGCACCAGTGAGGGACAACCCTGGCCGTCAGTACTGACTCTGTGCGTGCTCCACACCTCCGGGGACTGGGGGGACCGCGCAAGGATCCAGGCCGTGGCCGAGGGTCCCCGACGGCAGGGGCTCCGATCTCACGCGTGGGTGACAAGCAGGCCCCCGGCTTCCAGACCCTGCGGTCTGCTCAACTGCTCTTGCGCCCTGATTCCACCCGACACCCGGTTCACCTCTGTACCCACGACCCCGCCCCCGCCCAGCTTTCTTGGTCTGCTGGGGTCCCCTAACCCAACGCCACACAGGCCTCTCCATTTTACCTGCGGGAGCCCGTGCGAACGTGCCGGTCAGCAGAGAGCACACGCCCCGCAGCGCGGAGGACGTGGTCATTCCCTCGGGCGTCCCCATTCCAGCAGGTTCCCCCACGAGGAGGGGGAAGGGCGCTGCAGGGGGCTCACCTGCCCCGGGGTACACGCGGTTCTGTGAACCACTGGCCTATCTCCGGCCTCTTGGGACTTGTCCCTGCCTTCAGTTTTGGGGGAACCAGAGATCTGTATTCTGCCGAGAAAACTGGCCTCTGTCAAAATGTTCCCACGTGAGCAAAGACACTGTACACATAGGACATGTCAGTCATACAGCAGGTGCTCAGTGTATGCACACACTGCTTAATAGTCTACCAATTTTCAATTCTGACCTACGGCGATGGTTATTACATGAATCTAACTCCATATAAAAACATTCTACTCACTGCATTAGAATTGATCTCTGGCCCTGGCCAGTTTGGCTCAGCGGTTAGAGCGTTGGCCTGCAGTCCGGAGAGACCCGGGTTCGGTTCCCGCTAAGGGCATGTACCTCGGTTGCAGTTTGTCCCCGGCCCTGGTTGGTCGTGCGGGTGGCAGCCACTCGATGTGTCCCTTTCACATCGATGTTTCTCTCTCTCTCTCTCTCTTCCTCTCTCTCCCTCCCACTCTATCTGTACAAAAATGGAAAAATGTCCTCAGGTGAGGAAAAAAAAAAAAAATTAGAATTGATCTCTGGTGGTGCTTAGCATGATGCCATACCCTCTGTACCTCCAAAAACATGGTTGATTATAATTACAGATGTGATTGATGGAAAAAGCTCTTGAAAGGGGATCAGGATACCTGGATTCTGAGACAGATTTGCCATAATCATTGTATTTCTTAAATTACCTAATTTCTCTTAGTTATCAGTTTCTGCATGAGTTCTAACATGGTTTTACCACAGGAATTATATGATGAAGATATAAAGAAAAGATGAAATTCCTTCTGGTGTGATATAGCAATAAACAGTTCTATATACATTACGACATTTAATCCTCCCTGCTATGAAAAAGACAGACTCTGTTTAGCAATAGTTAGATGTAATTACTGTCCCTATTTTACAGATTTACAAATGTAGCCAGGTTAAATAGAAGGTCAGCAGCAATTTGAAACCGGGCCAGTTAGAATTTAAATGCACGTTCTTAACTACAAGCTGCAGGAAAACAAGTCTACTCAAATACCCAGAAACATGTAGCTCTATGTTTGTGTATTATAAATTTCAGTTAATAAAACCACTGTAATAGTTATCACAGCTATTTTACATTTATAGTTTATAATAAAAAGTGTCCAATAAAAATTTTAAAGGCAGTTTAATTAGTTCTTTGACTGAAAAAAAAAAACAAAAAATGAATAGCCATATTCAGTGTTCTGCCTGCCTTCCCGTGAAATCGGAATTGGTATCTTTTCCATTAACTTGTCATTACACACCCTGGGAGAAAACAGCCAGAGACAAATATGGACTTCCTCTGCTCTGGCTTCCGGTTTGCTTAGCTCTGCAAGGTCAGGGCCTCAAACAAAGGCAGTGAAAACATCTGCTATTTACACATTTCCAAAGCAGGACTGTGGAATCCATTCCCCTCACTGTAACCAGGTCTCCATGGTGACGCTGACGTCAGGGACCTGGGCTGATGCTCAGCGGGGCCTGCAGGGCAATATTTTCTTTACATGAGCGCCCTCTACCCACAGAACGCGGGATATCTCCGCGCCGGGACCTCATTTGTTCGAAGCCAGTCACTGTGTCTTCATCAGGTAATCAAGTATCTTACCGTCACATTTTTATTTTACATGAAATTACAAACAAATGCAAAAATAACAGCCAAGAAATTTAGTCCACTTATTGGAATTATTGAGCATGATATATCCTTTCAGTTTTAATTTTCTTTAAAAAAACAAACAAACCCTAAAACAGCCTTATTTATAATTTCTCATTCTTCTTAACACTAAAGAGGGTAGGCTTAAAAGTTCTGTTGTCCACACTTGAGCGAGATGGGTTTTTTCCCAAAAAAGGAATGCTTGTACTTCTGTTTAAAAAAACCCAGTCACCTGTTTTTCTAAGGCACCAGAATCAACAACTTTCTTTTTTCTGCACAATTCGTAATATGATCATTATAATTAGCTTTCAGTTAAAACTTGGCACACATGGGTCCCCTCATCCTGCCAAAACTTCATTTTGAGAAGGTTTCTCTTCCAATTTTATTCCACACTTGGCTTCTTTTCTCCACTCTTAGCACCGAGTGTTGTTATGCCACAGGATAATTTAAGTCAATCACTGTGGAGTTTTCCGTTCTATGATCACATAATCCCATACATTCCTGGTTTTAAAATATGTCAACATATTTATAGCCAAATATTAGGAATGTGTTATGTTGTCATAAGAATTCAGTCTTCAATTACCTTTTATTTCTTTTATTACTTTTTATTTCTCTGGTGATAAACTTTTATGCAAATGACAACTTATTTTACAACTCTTCTTGTAGCTAGAAATTTCTGATAAAAATATCTTTTAAAAAAATGCTGGTTCTCACCCAGCCTGTGTGGCTCAGTGGACTGAGCGCTGTCCCATGGCCTGAGAGGTCCCAGTTTGATTCCCAGTCAGGGCACATGCCAGGGTTGAGGCTCATTCCCAGTGGGGGGCGAACAGGAGGAAACCAGCTGATGTTTCTCTCTCACATCGATGTTTCTATCTCTCTCTCTCTTCCTCCCCCTCGCTCTTAAAAGAAAAGTCAGTTAAAAACATATTTTTTTAAAAATCGCTGGTTCTTGCCCAGAGAAAGATATAGCCATTAAGAAAAAAATGAATACATTCTTCAAGTAATTAGAGAAAGAAAAATAAGGATCCTCAAATGATGTTTTCACAAATTTGAAGCTCCAAATTACTTTTGTTCTTGCAAAAGTGGATAATATTGTTGAAATTCAGAGTTTGCTAGTAGCTAAAATTGGAATAAGATGCTGATACTTAAAGAAATGAAAAAAAGAAAATGTTCTTTTTGAAATGCAAGCAACTTAATTGGATGGGTCAATCAGAAACAACAGCAACAACAACAATCACAGAATGGAAACTGTATTCCTGCCTCGGGTGTGTTCTCAGGTGCTGGTCTACACGAACATCAGGTAGGGAGGCCTGTGGTGAAACGTTCTCTTTGACCAAGAAATGCTTTCTTCAACCATGGGCTCAGACAAACCTCAGTAGATAGCAACCTATTTTAAATGACCAGTTTTTCATTACTAATCCTATTATTTTTATTTAATTTATTTGGGTCATATTGCTTAATAAAATTATATAGGTTTCAGGTGTACAGTTCTAGAATACATCATCTGTATACTGTATTGTGTGTTCACCAA